ACATCCCTCTGGCAGCCCGGCAGCCCTCGGGGGATGTCCACTTGCCAGCAGGGAGCAGGCCTAAACTGCAGTCGGACATCCTTAGCACTGCTGAGGAGGCAGGAGAGGCTCCCACCACCACTGCTGTACTGGCAGCCATCAGCCTGGCTTGTGGCTGAGCAGAGCTCCTCCCATGTGAGAGCGCCCAGACCACCAGAGGGCAGCTTCTGCATTGAGCGTCTGCCCCCTGGTGGTCAGTGTGTGTCATAGTGATCAGTCATTCCCAGTCCTTCTGCTGTTAGGGTCAGTTTCCATATTACCCGTTTACTATATAGGATAGAGGCCTGGTGCATGTGTGGGGGCCAGCTGGTTTGCCCTGAAGGGTGTCCCGGACCAGGGTGAGGGTACCGCTTGGGTGCCTGGCCAGCCTGGATGAGGGGATGATGGCTGTTTGCAGCTGGTCACACCCCCTTCAGGGTGGGGGTCCCCACTGGGGTGCCTGGCCAGTCTGGGTGAGGGGCTGAGGGCTGTTTTCAGGCTGGTGGGCGACTGAAGCTCCCAGCCTCTCCTTTTTTCTTTTTTCTTTTTTATTCTGGGATTTATTTACCTTCTATAGCTGTCACTGGAGCTGAGAGTCCGCTCCAGCTCTGAGGCCGTTGCCGGCTGAAAGCAGGTACCTGGGTTTGTTTAGATTCTATAATTGAAACTCTGTTGCCATTACTGGCCCCTCTAAGCTCTGAGGCCTTGCTGGCTGAAAGCAGGTTTCTGGGGTTTGTTTAGGTTCTATAATTGCAACATTGTTTCATCCGGAGCTTAGAGCTGAGCTGCGGCAGGCGGGGAACGTTGGCTTCCTCCATCACTGGAGTAAGCAAGCCTCATGGTCATGTTCGCTTCAGCTGCCTGGCTGCCGGCCGCCATCTTGGCCGGCAGTTAATTTGCATATCTCGCTGATTAGCCAATGGGAAGGGTAGCGAAGTTATGGTTAATTACCATGTTTCTCTATTATTAGATAGGATAGCTCCTAGAGGCCCAGTGCATGAAAATTCACATAGCTCAATGGAACAGAACAGATGCATAAAAATAAGCCCAACTGATCTTTGCCAAAAGTACAAAATCAATTCAATGGTAAAGGATAGCCTTTTCAACAAATGGGGCTGCATCAATTAGACCACCAAAGGAAAAAAAATGAGCCTTGACCTAAAAGTCACACTTTATATAGTAACTAAAAATGGATCATGGTCTTGAGTCTAAAAATCATAAAACTTTTAAGAGAAAACATAAGAGAAAATTTTAGGGATCTAGGGTTATTCAGAGTTCTAGCCTTGATACCAAAAACACAATCTATTAAAGTAGCGGTTCTCAACCTGTGGGTCGCAACCCCTTTGTGGGTCAAACGACCCTTTCACAGGGGTCGCCTAGGACCATTGGAAAACACATATATAATTACATATTGTTTTTGTGATTAATCACTATGCTTTAATTATGTTCAATTTGTAGCAATGAAATTGGGGGTCACCACAACATGAGGAACTGTATTAAAGGGTCACGGCATTAGGAAGGTTGAGAACCACTGTATTAAAGGAAAAATGGGAGCAGGCTGCAGAGGGCCCAGGGCCCGGGCCCCGCATGAGGTCTGGCAGCGGCAACATGGGGCTCCTAGTTATGGAGTGTGCTGCGTGGTCCACGGTGCCAACCCGATGAACAAGTGAACTAGTGCCCTAACTGGTTTGGCTCAGTGGATAGAGCGTCGGCCTGCGGACAAAAGGGTCCCAAGTTTGATTCCAGTCAAGGGCATGTACCTTGGTTGCAGGCACATACCCAGTAGGGGGTGTGCAGGAGGCAGCTGATCAATGTTTCTCTCTCATCGATGTTTCTGGCTCTCTATCCCTATCTCTTCCTCTCTGTAAAAAAATCAATAAAATATATATTTTTTTAAAAAGTGGACTAGCAAGTGGGGCCCTGCACACCTTCTACAAGAGCCACGTGCAAAGAGCACCAGCTGGTCAAGGAGAAAGTGCCCGAGCTGGCCAGCTTCAAGCTCAAGCCCTATGTGAACTACCTCACCCCAGTGGGCACTGGGCACTCACAGGCCCCTGACAGCTGGCAGAGCAGCTCTTTCATGAGGTGGTGGCCACCACGAGAAGGACTTTAGGGACAATACCAAGTGTCTGGAGAAGCACAGCTTCGAGCCCACGCAGGAGGCCAAGCTCTTCCAGCTGTATCCCACAAGAACTTCCTATGCTAGCCGCCAGTGATGCAAGTCTGGACCACACATTGCCCCCTGCACGACCCCAGCATCTCTGTCCCTTTACCTGGCTTCTATTAAAGACCATGGCTACCTTAAACAAATGAAAATGAAAAACAATTGGTTCTCATCAAAATTAAAAAGTTTCACTCTGTGGAAGCCCATGGGAAGAGGATGAAGACAATATAGAGACGTGAAGAAACCATTTACCAACCATATTATCTGACAAAGCACTAGAATCTATAACATATAAAGAACTCTCAAAACTCAACAGTTGAAAACAATTAAGTTAAAATATGGGCAAAAGACATTTCACTAAAGAAAATATAGAGATGGCAAATCAGCACATGAAAAAGATAAAACATCATTAGCCATTAGGGAAATGCAAATCCAAACCACAAGGAGATAACACTACATGCCTAACAGAATGGCAAAAAATAAATTAAAAAGATGTCAATACTAAACACTGGCAAGGATGTGGGGAAGCTGAATCACTCACCCATTGCTGGTGAGAAGGTAAAATTTTACAGCCACTATGAAAAACAATTTGGTAAGTTCTTATAAAATTAAACATGCAATTACCAAATGAACCAGCAAATGCACTCTTAGGGCATTTATCCCAGAGAAAAGAAAATTTATCTCTACATAAAATCACATACATAAATGTTCATGGCAGCTTTATTTCCAATAGCCAAAAACTGAAGACAGCAAAGATATCTTTCAGTAGGTGAATGGTTAAACAAAGCATTCACCTAGTACTATGGTCGGCAAACTGTGGCTCGCGAGCCACATGCGGCTCTTTGGCCCCTTGAGTATGGCTCTTCCTAAGCCTTAGGAGTACCCTAATTAAGTTAATAACAGTGTACCTACCTATATAGTTTAAGTTAAAAAAATTTGGCTCTCAAAAGAAATTTCAATTGTTGTACTGTTGATATTTGGCTCTGTTGACTAATGAGTTTGCCGACCACTGACTAGTATATCAATGTTATGGAATATAACTCAGCAGTAAAAAGTAGTAAACTGTTGAAACATGCAACAACTTGATGAACTTCCAGAAAATAATTCTGAATAGAATAATTCTGAATGAAAAAGTGAATCCCAAAAGTTTACATAGTTTGCATTCCATTCATATATTATTGAAATTGCAAAATTTTAGAAATGTAGAACAGGTTAGTGGTTGCCGTGGGTTGGTGATGGGGTGGGGTGTGGGAGGGACGTGTGTGTGGTTATAAAGGGGTAACAGGAGGAATCCTTGTGTTAATACAACTGTTTAGTATCTTGACTGTGGTAGTAAATACACAAACCTACACATATAATAAACCTCTGAAGAACTAAATATACACACACATAAACAAATACAAGTAAAACAGGAAATATGAATAAGGTCAGTGAATTATATCAGCATCAATATTCTAGTTGTGATATGATACTTTTGCAAAAGGTATCACTGAGGGAAACTGGGAAAAGTGTATATGGATATCCTCTGTATTACATTCTAAATCTGCATGTGAATCTATAATAATCTCAGTAAAAAGTTCAATAAAAAATACAGGAGCATAATCTTAAAAATCCCTGTAAAGGCTCCTATCAAGGAACATTTCTCCTTTTCCCATGTATATAGTTATCTGTAGAAAACTGTCCTTGAACTATGGGGACCTTAGATCTATGGTTCTTCCACTTGTTCTAACAGGTCACTTTAAATTTAGAATGCAATAATGTTCTGAAAATAAAACCTTGAGAACACGAACTACCATCCTAATTCTAGATTACTGTCAGGAAGAGTGAAGGATTCTTTTATACTTTCATGTACTCCAGATGTTTAAATGGGCAGAATCTTAAATTCAATATCTTCTTTATACTCTACTGTGGTTAAGGATGAATATGCAATGAGGAAGCTAAGAACTAAACCTAAGGAGGTTCGATCAAAACAATATGGGGAATGAGAACTCAGTGCTATTGAAGTAGACTTGGTTAGAGATGATGGTGGCTTACACTAGGATGATAAGAGTGGAATAGGGTTGAGAATATCATACTAAGTGAAATATGTAAGTCAGAGAAAGCTAAGAACCATATGATTTCACTCATATGTTGATATAAAACTGAAACTCACAGACAACAGGTTACCAGAGGGAAGAGGGTGGGGTGGGTAGTAAAAGGTAAAGGGGGTCAAATATATGATGCCCTTTCCTGACATGGAAAAGATATGAGAGTAACAGATTTGCAGAGTGGGGCGGAAGTATGATATGATGGGTTAAGATTTCTATTTAGAATAAAGAAGTGGGATCTGTATTTGTAAAAAGTTCTCTAGGTCAGCGATATTCAACAGGTGTGCCACAGGAGGCATACTAGTATGCCACAAAAATTTTTTAAAACATTCAGTACCTGACTATGTAGTCAGGAGCACTGACCTCTTTTCCCTTAGATTTTCAAATAAAAAAAAAAAAATACAACAGCCAACACAACAATAGCTGTCCGGTGTGAGTGAATCAAACTTAAACCTATTTTTTTTGGTCAGATTGGCAAAAAATATAATAGATATTTTTGGTGTACCGAAGAATTTTAGTAATTAATTAGTTTATGTGTGCCATGAGATGAAAAAGATTGAAAACTGCTGCTCTAGGTGATTTGGATATGCCTTTCTTTTTCCCCACATCACCAAATTGAGAACCAACCATCTATTGGAACACAGGGACTCTCTCATAGGAATGCATTTTCCATAAACTGAGGACATAACAGATTATTCAACTTCTATACAAAGGAAAGGAAGAATTTTTACCTAGAGAGATGACAGTCTCATAATTTTCCTGCATTACTTCATTGTAGAGGGCCTTCTGAGTAGGGGCCAGTAATTTCCATTCTTCTTCAGAAAAATGCACAGCCACATCTTCAAATGTCAACAAACTCTAAAGAAGAGAATGGGTTTTAGTTCAGTATTTGCAACTACAGAAGTTGTACTCTCACTTATTTCTGAATTCAGTCACTGAAATTAAGTGTATAAAATTTAGGGAGGAAAAGTGAGTGGCAGAAAAGAAAGAAAAGAGATCAGTAAACAAGCTTGGGAGGTGCCCAATTCCCACTGTCCCAAGCCTAGCTGTGTAAAGGACATCTGAGGCTAACTAGGCTCAGGGTACCTGCTGGGCACTGTGGGTCTTGGGCAACAGAGAAAAGCATAGATAAGGTCACATTCAGGCTGCCTGAAAAATCTGGAATGTACAGCTCACCTGGGATTCAGACAAGACGAGCTCAGTTGCCATCTTCCAGTTTGGGGTGCTTTTCTGCTCAGAAAAGGCTAGAATCTGTTGAGCAGGCACGGCTGTGGGTGGAAAGGAGCCAGAAAATTTCTCTTTTCTGTTTATGAATATCCTGAGCTGATTTGTAAAATATAGAATATCAGGACACCTTCAGTAAAGATAGTTCACCTTCATGTGTATGAGTGTGTGTGTCATGCCAAAAGTGGCCTTTTCATGGTAAATAAGAAACAAATATCCACCACTCCATAGAACCGGTTCCCCAGATTTCACGAGACAAATTATTAAAGGAAATTCACTATTTTTTCCTGTCATAAAATAGTTTGTTCATTGGGCCGGGCAAGAATTAGAGGTGTTTGAAAATGAAGGACTCAAGTCCTCCAGTGTATGGCAGGAAATGTGAAATGTTTTTGTCTATTAGTATTTTTTCCTCGTGCACAATTCTCTTCCTCTTTTGCTCATTTCTGATCTAATTTCTCCTCTAATTTAACAAGGGTCAGATGACCCCACCGATCCCTATTCCATATTCTCTCAAATTTCTCAGGAACAAGGCCCATGATATGAATACCAGGGTTCCATGGTTTGGATATTACTGTACCTCAGACTGCTCCTCACCTTCACCCACCATTGACCTATTATAGTCCCATATGAGAGACATCCTAACTGCTAGCATGGCTGGGCATCTGGAAAATTCCCATGATATTCTAGCTGAATCGATTACTATCACAGCTCCCAGAAGAGAATTTTTATGAAGCTCCTCACCTCTTTCATATACAGGCTGTGTTTCTGTGGGAGTTTTCGAGCCCAGCTGTTCTTGTAGTACCTGGTATGCATTCCAACATTCTTTCTGGAACACACCCATTGCTTGGGGCTCTGCTGGCTTCCACTTAAAGCCTGGGACCTCTGCTGTTCCTCCCAAGAGCACTGCCTCCTTTCCCAGGTCATGGACTGTGACCTAGAAATAATCCCCATCCTCATTAGCACAGAACTTACTTGCAGTTTTAGGGTGTGGTGGAGGGATGAACAAGAATAGAGCCCAGATTTAGGGAGTGTGTGACATTAAAGGACGTACTAAAAAACTGTAAAGGGGTTGTGTTACCCTTTTCTCACAAAGAACTATATATATCACCTGGGAAATAAAAAAAGCTGTGACTGCTGCTAACCTCCACCCCTCCACATACAGCCACAGCTCAGGCTACTAGCAGACTGGATGCAGGCTGCCTGTTCTCATGCTGCCTTCACTGGCTTGTTTCCTAGACTTAAACCCTTGCCTGAGTGGATTTCTATATTTTAGTCTTATCTAAGGCATTAAATAAAAAAGGTTTTCCTCTTTGTCAGATTTTCGAATCCCCTCATGGCTAGGAAAGGATTTCGTGGAGAAAGGGGATGGAATGGGGGGGAAACTGGGGAAAGTTCAACTCTAACCTCCCTCTTCAGGATTCAGTTGTGGTAAGACACAATAATATATCCTGCCCTGTGTTCCTCAAGGTGGGCTCCTGAGGAAAGGAAGTGTGCTGCCATCTCCCCAGGGCATACCTTGGTCCTCCACTCACCAGCAAAGCCAAGGCTAGATCACTAAGGCAGGGTACCGGAGGCTCTTTTCCTAGCCCAGAGATGTGTATTCCCACTACAGAGGGCCTACCCCTCAGCATCTTGATTCTCTCCATTCCTCTTTTGGCATTTTTCTTCTTTCCATGTCCTTGCTTCCCATTTATTCTACTTTTTTCTCCTCCTCTGCAGTCTCCCTAGAGTTGTTTGATTTATACTTCTGTTTGCTACCCTCGCTCTCCTTTGATCTGTAAGTTCTGTCTGCTCCTCCCCCGCCCCCCGATTTTCTCCCCTTTCCCAATTTGTTCTTGCCTTTTATTTCTGTTTCTAGGAAATCAAGTCCTATCTCCTTCGCCATGCCAGACTAGGCTCACCACACTCAATTTGCACTGGCCCTAAATAGGGCAAAATGCATTTCTTTTTGCTAAGGCCAGCAAAGACTGCCAGGAGCTCTGAAACCTGTAGACTATTGCTGCATATATGTGATTTCAGATCTCACCTAATTGTGCTAAAGGAACAACGGAAGAGTGACCTAACCAAAATCATTCCCCCATTAATCTCCCAACCCATAAACATACCCACTCTTATCCTATTTCATTGTATGTGTGAGGAATCTTTTTTCTCACCTCATTACTTATTCCACCAGGTTCTCTCTGAAAGCGTTCCACTAGGGCCACAGCCTCTTTGATGCTCTGTGGATGATACTTCTGTACCCAGTTCTGAATATCCCTGGGCAGAATGATTAGGAACTGCTCTAGCACCAGTAGTTCCAAGATCTGTTCTTTTGAGTGGATCTCTGGCTTTAGCCACTGATGGCATAATTCCTGAAGTTGGTTGACAGCCTCGAGGGGTCCAGGTGCTTTATGGTAACAGAAACTCCGGAATTGCTGGCGAGCACTCTCAAGACCAAGACTGTCCATGTGTGGACTGAATTTCTTACTCTGACTGGAGCTCTCTTTCACAGACTCCTTAGTCTCCCACAAAGACTCCATGTGTGGGTATGAGCGTGCGTTCACCTTCAGATGTCTCATCATCATTTGCTCTTGGAACAGTTTTTCTCCTATTTGTGACATCCTCCTGGTGCCACCTTTGACAACTGAGGCCTTGTCAGGTTTGGTACAAAACCAATGAATGGATCTTCTCCCCAAGGACACTGAGGGAGGAGAGGAAAAAGTGGAAGTCAAGATAAAAGCCACATGATATATATTTATTTGCTATTTATAATTATCTGAGAAGAATGAACAGAAAAGTTCTGTCCTGCTTCCTCCTTAAAATCAACTGCCAAGAATGAGGACACTCATGATGGCAGATTACTTCAGAGTAACATGTTTCTGTCCTTTTCTGTTACTCAACTTTGAAACAAAGAACAGCTCAGAGGATACAGATGTCAATTGAAAACCTTTTGCTCAAAGGAACAAATTGGTAGGTGAATAAAACTGGCACCCACTTGCTAAAAGGAGCTTTAAGACTATTGGATATTTAATATGTGTGCTTCCTATACCATCTTCACAAATAGGGCATATTTGAGTTTTTCTAAATTTTAACAGACCATTCCAATCTTTTGTCTTTAGTCAGGGGGAAAATAACTTCTATGCCCCTTCATTCTCTTATGAACACTGAAACCTTTACTTCATGAAACATTTGATAGTCTTCTTTCCATTACATTAACACTGGCAGGAGAACTGAGACAGGAAGATAAGAAAGTATTCAGGAAAAAAGTAACCTTATTCCTCTCAGCAAATATCCCCCGACTAAGCAACCAGATGCCCACAACATTTTTTGTGGGTACTTTTGGGGAAAACTTATAAAGGACTCTGTGCAAATTGTGTACCTGTGCATTCAATATCTTGTTTACTTACTGGAAAAACTTCCATTTGTTTATAAGATATCTAAATGGCAGATGTTAAAGAAGGAAAGAAATGGTGATGGTTAAATTTCTTGAGACAGGAAGGGTCTAGTAACGGTACCCCTTCTCCTGACTTTCCATTTCCTTAGGGTCATTACAGATCTTTAAAAAAAGGCTGAGGATAGCCTGGAAAGTCTGATTTTCCCTGACGTGATCCAGCAAAAAGAGCAACAAATTTATTTCAAGGATACCACTGGTATTCAAAGAAATGGTTGGGTCTTTGCTGCCTATACAGGCTGAGGAGGTACAGGGACACCTCCTATATATTTCATTTGTTTGTGGATTTTTTGGGTTTGTTTTTACATTTATGTATGTATGTATTAAATTTTATTGGGGTGACATTAGTCAACATGAACATATAGGTTTCATGTGTCAATTACTAAGTTACAAAATCTGTATATAGGACCATGTGCCCACCACCCAAAGTCAAATCTCCTGTCACCTTATAATAGGACCCCTCTCCCGCCCCCCCCTTCCCCCTTCTGGCAACCTCCTATATTTTTTAGCAGCAGAAGCTGTAATGACCCTTCCTCCAGGGATATGACCATAAGCCAGCAGAAACCTGAAAGTTTCGCTGGATGCAGTGGTAGACATCACTGCCCCATCCCCCACCACTAATTCACTACACCTTCCGCGTTGACCACTAGGGTGACAATAAGCCCTGTGCACGTGGGCAGCCTCCGCGTGTGCTCCAGCAGCACCCCGGGGTGATATTTGCACATAAAGTACAAAGAGATCGCTTCCGGAGGTTAGATGTGGAAATAGGAGCCTGAATATCGGCTTCACAGAGAAAAGGTCCCGCCTGAACTCAGGCTGATCGCCGCTTGGCAAAGATGCCACCACGAACTGGGGACGGCTACATCCCCCATCCCCCACCTCACCACTCCGCACCCCCCACCCCCTCACCACCATGCAGGCTGCAACTGGCACGTGCGGCCCTTATCTCTCGAGCTGTCTAGACCAAATACAAAGGGAAAATCGGGCTTCTCGATTACCTTCACGCGGCTCTGGCCTCCGCGGACGCCACTTCCCTCTTCCTCACTAGACTCAGAAGTCGCCACGCCTCCGGGCTACTCTGGGAAGAAAGCTCTCCGCGCCTGCGCCACTGCAGAGGCCGGGTCGGGAGCGTGTGCCGCCTGGCGAGAGGAGCGCCAAGACTCAGAAGCGCAGGGAACTTGGAAGATCAGTCTCCCATCCGATGCCTCTATCTCCCGGAGACTGTACCCCGACTCGCCATTTTAAGATCGCGGTATGTGGACCGGGCCCCAACCGGAAAAGGAAGACTCGTTTCCGGTGGCTTTGTGACAACCACGCCCAGCCATCTATCTTCCTTCCTTCACCTGTGCAATCTCAACCCAGCCTGCTAGGAACAATCCCTGGGATCCTTTCCAACCTCCAACCTTGAGGGATGGCCTTTCTGTTCCCGTTCAGCCCCTGATGCAAAAACAAGTTAATGCCATCGAGTCTCCAGACCAGCTGACAAAGGGTGCCGCAATATCTCCCCCTCTCTCTCTCTCTCCCCCTCCCAAGAATATTTTTTTCATTTTTAATGCATTTTATTTTATTTTAAATTTTTATTGTTGAAAGTATTACATATGTCCTTTCCCCCCCCCCCCCATTGACCCCTTTTAGCCCGCAACACCCCCCACCACCACCCTATTGTCTGTGTCCATAGGTTATGTATATATGCATACAAGTTCTTTGGTTGATCTCTTCTCACCCCACCCCCCTGCCTTCCCTCTGAGATTCAACAGTCTGTTCCATGCTTCCATGTCTCTGGATCTGTTTTGTTCATCAGTTTATTTTGTTCATTAGATTCCACATATGAGTGAGATCATATGGTATTTGTCTTTCTCTTCCTGGCTTATTTCACTTAACATAATACTCTCCAGGTCCCTCCATGCTGTCTCAAAGGGTGAGAGTTCCTTTTTTACTGCTGCATAGTATACCATGGTATAAATGTACCACAGTTTTTTAATCCACTCATCTACTGATGGGCACTTGGGCTGTTTCCAGATCTTAGCTGTTGTAACTTGTATTGCTATGAACATAGGGGTGCATACATTCTTTCTGATTGGTGTTTTGGGTTTCTTAGGATATATTCCTAGGAGTGGGATCACTGGGTCATATTTAATTTTGTGAAGAAACTCCATACTGTTTTCCATAATGGCTGCACTAGTCCATTGATTATAAAAAGAGTTGAAGGGAGGATGGGGGAGCGAGAGGGAGGGGGAGAGGGGGGGGGACATCAATTGGTTGCCTCCCAAATGCAGCCCTGGTCTGGGGCCTGGATCAACCTGCAACCCAGGTACATGCCCTTTCCCGGGAATGAACCTGAGACCCAGTGCACAGGCTAATGCTTTAACTACTGTCCAGGGCTCAATCTCTCCATGACTTGAGTGAAGTGTTGCTAGTCCAGATTATTCCTACATTGCTTTCCAGCTGCTGGCTGCCCTTTCTACAGGGAACCTCCCCCAGTGAGGGCCACCACCCCAAAAATTGTCACTAGGCTTGTCCAGAGCCTCCTTTAGTAAGAGGCAGTTTGGTTCTGGTCAGGCTCCTCCCTAGATTAGGAACCACAGTCCTTTATGGGGTTTTTTGTTTGTTTGTTTTTTGTCCATTATGTTTTTAAAAACCTTTTCTGGTTCACTGGCACGTTCTTCTCAACTATTATTACTTTTATTATTGTTAGGTAGGTTTTAACCTCATGATATAAGTTCCATTTATATTTCTCTTTGGCATGTAAAGAATATGTATGAGATGTAAGACGTGACTTCCTGAGGGTCACATAGATTACCAGTGGCAAATGTTGTTGTTGTTGTTAATTCTCACCCAAGGATATGTTTCCATTGAATTTTAGATAGAGTGGAAGGAAAGGAGAGAGACAGAGAGAGAAACATTGATGTGTCGCCTCCTGTACATGCCCCAGGAGCCTGTAACCAAGGTATGTTGCCTTGACCGGAATCAAAGTCAAGACCCTTCAGTCCTCGGGCCAATGCTTTATCTACTGAGTCAAACTGGCTAGGGTACTAGTAGCAGGTTTTAGACAGGAATTTAGGTCTCCTGATGTCATATCCTGTGCTGTGTTTCTATTACATTATGCTTCCCTGGAGGACAAGGCCCTTCTTTCATCTTATATTTCCTGTAATGTTTAGCATAATCCTCTGGATAAGTTATCTTTCTAAGAATTTGAGTACCTCCAGTTGTCAGTGTCTCCAAATTATCAGTGTTTACCTAGTGTTGAGCCATTTGGTCAAAAATTGTTCATATTGTTGTGTATAGGTTTAGTATGATTTCTAACTCACTTGTTTATGACTTGAACTAGTTTAAATCTACTTGTTTAAGACAAAGAAAGAAAGCTGCTTTCCTAAAGCATGAAGTAAGTAATGTTGGATATCACTGAGAAGCAGTCAGCAGCCCAGCAGCTGAGAGGCCCTGCTGGGGGATCATCAGTAAGAACATGTGGAGAAGTGACTATAGAAATGGGACATTTAAATTGTAAATAGTGAGAGTGTGTGAGGACTATTCGAGAATTTCAGTTTGGGCAGCAACTCTCAATAACCTAAAAATTCTTCTAAAACCCCAGCAATTTATTTAGCACAAATTTGCTGTGGGAATTTCACAAGCCAAAAGCATAGAGGATAATATTGCTTAAAAAGACAAAGATTATAGCAGCACAATTTACAATAGCTAAGATTTGGAAACAGCCTAAGTGCCCATCAGCAGATGAGTGGATTAAAAAACTGTAGTACATCAACACAATGGAATACTACACTATAAAAAAGAAGGAACTTTTACCGCTTGCAACAGCATAGATGGACCTGGAGAGCATTATGCTAAGCGAAATAAGCCAGTCAGAGAAAGATAAATTTCACATTATCTCACTCATTTGTGGAATATAATGAAAAACATAAACTGATGAACTAAAATAGATCCAGAGACAGAGAAACATCGAACAGGCCATCAGACCTCAGAGGGAATGCAGGGGAGGGTTGAGGGGAGGAAGAGAGATCAACCAATGAACTCATATGCATATATGCATAACCCATAGACACAGACAATAGGGTGGTGAAGGTTTGGGGGGTAAAGGGGGTTGGTGAGGGCAATATACAGGGAAAGGGAAATATGTAATAATTTCAACAATAAAGATTTTTTTAACTGAATGTTGTCCTGTTTGGTTTTTTTCAGTGGTTAGGACATTGGACTGCATAACAAAGTATCAAGGGTTCCAGTCCTGGTCAAGGGCATGTACCTGGGTTCCAGGTTCAAACCCCGGTCCCAGTTGTGGACCAAGTGGGAGGAAACCTATGGATGTGTCCCTCTCACATAAATGTTTCTCTCTCTCTCCCTCCCTCCAGCCCTTCCACTCTCTTTAAATATCGAGGCAAACAATATCCTCCCAAGAGGATTGACAAACAGCAACAAAAAGAAATGTGAAAATTTACCCCAGGCTTTCCCTGTGTTTATCCCACTGCAGCTGCCTACCCAGAGGTCTGCTGCTTCTCAGTGCTTATGGATGGTGTCTTCCCTGTGTCTGAGTGTCTCACGGTAGGAAGTGCTCTTGGATCCAGGTAGGGTGTAGTTTTGACATCAGAGTTAGATTTTAGGATGTCTCAAGGAGAATGTGTGTTTGAGGGACAAAGAAATCTGAGATGTGGGAGCTTGGAGAGACACAAGAAGAGTAGCAGATGATGAAGGCACAGAGGAAGACATTTTGTTTAATAGCCTTGTAGACTAGGGCAAGGCGTTTGGATCTCTCTGAGGTGCCGAGAAAAAAACGTTAGGTTTTAAGCAAGAGAGAGACAAATGGCATGTACTTTAAAAAATGACTGCTATTTGGAGAATGGATGCTGGTGAGCAAAGAGGGAAGGAACCAGGCGAGCTACACCACTTTTGTAATATTGAAGGTATTAAATGAAAGTGGTTTGGGCTGCAGTGGTGGGACTGGAGATAGTGAGACATGATGGGATTGCAGGGGTGTTTTGAAGGTACTGATAAGATTTTCTGAAGGACTGGATGAAAGATGTGGTAGAAAATTAGGGAGTTAAGCATTCTGACAGGGGTTTTGTGTTGAGCCATCGGATGAACAAAGTTGCAATTTCCTGAGATGGAGAAGATTGGGGGAGTGAGCAGATGTTTGCAGAAAATTCAGGACATGTTAAATTTTAGAAATGTTAGGCTCGGGATACCTATGGGACATCCTTGTGTGTAGCTCATTCTATTTATCAAAATGGGAGTCATTAGCATTTATATGAATTGTACAGACTCAGGACTGATGTGTCAGTAGAGAAGAAGTTTAGGGACTGAGCCAGGGAGCACTCTGGTGTGTAGCCAATGGGGAATCTCTGGCACAGCAGGCTGAGGAGCCTTTCCAGGAGAACATGGCAACACAGAGGACAAGCAAGGAAGTATGTCAAGAAACATGGAGCAATTAAAGTGGGTCGAGTGCTAAGAGGTTGGGTGGCGAGAGCATAGACAATTGCCCAGTGTATCTGGTGACCTGGTGGTTAAGAGTAATCCTGAAAGCCATTTCGGGAGGATGTTGTGGTTAAAAGCCTGAGCAGAGAAGGTTGAGGATAGAATGACAGATAAGAAAGTGAATGTTGCCAAAACCGGTTTGGCTCAGTGGATAGAGCGTCGGCCTGCGGACTGAAGGGTCCCGGGTTCGATTCCAGTCAAGGGCATGTACCTGGGTTGCGGGCACATCCCCAGTAGGAGATGTGCAAGAGGCAGCTGATCGATGTTTCTCTCTCATCGATGTTTCTAGCTCTCTATCTCTTTTCCTTCCTCTCTGTAAAAAATCAATAAAATATACTTAAAAAAAATAAAGAAAGTGAATGTAGGTTATTCTTTCAATATTTTTTCCTGTTGTGGTATCAAAGAAATGAGAAAAAAGGGGAGTTAGGTCAAGGGTGATTTATTAATCTAGTTGTTTTTTCAGAAGATGGGAGGTCAGGGTGTGTGCTTGTTTTTGGAGAGAGAGAGAGAGAGAGAGAGAGAGAGAGAGAGAGAGAGAAAGAAAGAAATAAATTGTTGATGTAGGAGGAAGAGGAACAATACTGTAGGAGCAAAGTCCTCATGGGAATGGTACCATGTGCCCAGCAGAGGTGTGTGCCTTGGCTGAGGGCTTGGATGTCCCTCTATTGTTTTAGGAGGAAAGGCAGGGAAAGCCAGGACAGGTGCCAGGGGGTTCACTGGAGCTCCTGTCCAGTGGTGTTTATTTTCCCAGAGAAATAAGAGGCCTGGCCTGCTTGTCAGTGTTTCCTATTAAT